CTGCATAGATATCGTACGCTAGAGGGCACTTGAGGTAGAAGTTAAAAAAAAAAAAAAAAAAAAAAAAAAAAAAAAAAAACCGACATCCGCTCTTAGGACCGCGGGCTCTGGCAGGCAGAAGGCGGCACCCGAAAACTGTGTCCCATTTTCCACAGGGCAGCAGCGTCTTTCATAAGCACACAAACCAAACAATCCTGAGACCGCGTTATGCAGCTGTTTCTAATGAAGAAATCCGCGCTCTCAGTAAGACCGTTTCCTTTCAACTTCGTGGAGCCTTTGTCAAAGACGCACAGAGCAGTCTTCTCCAGAATCATCAACTGGATAATAACTGATCAGAGCTATAAACTCCATTGTAGGAGTAATAATAGATACTGAGGTGCCTGTTTTTCTGCCTACAGATCGTAAACTCTTCTCCTTGGGTCTAATGTACATTAATAGAAAAGTGCACCGTCTTCCAAATGATGGTAATCATTTAAGATTTATTATTATTATTTTAATATTTTGAGACTGAAAATAATCAGGGTAGTAGTATTTCAGGGGATGGCAGGAAAGGAAGGGTCGTTTTTCATTTCTCCTTTTTCTTTCCATTTCTTTAAAGAAAACACAGTACAAACTATTTTTCTCTTCTTGGTGAATCCCAAATTTAACAAGTGGGATAGGGCTGTTGTTGTTGGGGGCAGGATCTAGAATCTTAACCTAGTTGCTGTCACTTGGGTATTTCTTTTAGGGGGGTGGTATGACAACAAGGGGTGGGGGAGAGAATAAAAAGAAAATGCTAGTTTGTAATCCACTGAACCTGGGTTGGCATATTTGGTTACTTTGTATCAGTCCTGTTAAATCTATCTCTGCCTTTCTCAGTTTCTGTTCAAAAGCTGAATTGGAGCTTATCTATTTCCTAGCACCTGGAAAGATAGGAGATAATGCCATTTTAAAACCTTCTCCAAAATGCTCTGAGCACAGATGTGGTTTTCAGAATATGTTTACACCTCCATTGACTGAAAATATAATGGCAAGCTCAAGATTAGCAATTACAGTAAATATTAAGAGATACAGGCCTAATTTCAAGGACAGCTAAAATCACCAGCCAAGAAATGTATAGTACCATCCCTCTGAATAACAAACTCCATGGCAATTTTATCCCAGATTCAAAACCACTTCTAAAGAAATCGGCTTGGTTTCTCAAATCCCACAATACATACCAGCAGAGTAATGACATCAAGTTTGATAGGAATACACTTCTTATTTTTTTCAAGATCATTCATTTTTAGAATATTCCAGTGGAAAATAAGTAAGCAGTAATATAACATACCACTTTATTTTTACTCTTCTCATCTTTATACTAAGGTCACGGGCCTCAGATATTTAGCAGGCAACAGAATTCTTTGGGATCTTTGTGAAAATTCAGGTTTCAGAGTCCCACCCAGATTCAGGGTGTTTGTGTTATTAGGATGTCCTTTGATTATAGGAGAGGCAGACTGTTTCTGGACCAAAGTTCTCCTTTTAAGAAGCAATATAATGTTTTACAATCTATTCACTTGAGCCCCATCATCTCTTTATTCTCCTAATTTTTAAATAAATTTAAAAGTAAATCTATAAACTCCTTAAAATTGCTTTTACATTTTTATTCTTATAATTTAAGCTTCAGTGTTGAAATTAAAAATAAAACTTCAAAGACTCTTTTGTCTAATGCCACTTTTGTCAAATTGTTATCTTTGTTATATACCGCCTCCAGCACAGCGGTAGGGCTTTCGCCTTACAAGCGGCCAACATGGCCGACCCGAGTTCGATTCCTCCGCCCCTCTCGGAGAGCCCGGCAAGCTACCGAGAGTACTCGATATGCCAGACACAGTAACAACAAAGTCTCCAATGGAGACGTTACTGGGCCCGCTCGAGCAAATCGACGATCAACGGGAGGGCCTTTACCTTTACCTTTATACCCCCTCCAAAGGAAACAAAGTGCATGGAAATTTTCCACAAAGAGAAAGGAAGAAAGAAAGAAAGAAGAAAGAAAGAAAGGGAGGAAGGAAGATATGATAGTTTTTAGGAATCTTCACTAAAACCCTATTAGGAAGTGTGTTTTAGGAAGTCCAAATTCCTAAGAAATATCATATTAATAATTGTTAAATTTCTATTTTGGCTTCTTTTTTTGGTATTTTTAAGTTTTTATTTTCAAATCCCCATTCATAAAATTGATTTTCCTAAACCTCACCTTTAGGAGACAATCCAGAAATGAATGAATGAATTAATCTAAGTTTAAAACAATCCAATAAACTCAGAAGATCTCAGTAATCCTGCTATGATAGGTTTGAGTTTTTTCCCCCTTTGGGTATCCTTTGTTCTTTAGTGATGGACTATAGAATGAAAATGTGGTTGCATTTCAATGCACCAAATCATATCGTTCATTCTATCATCTGCTGCAATTGCAGAAGCTGGAATCTTCATGATTCTCCCACTTTCTTCCAAAACTGCTTCAAGAGCCCTTGGATTCCTCAGGCCCCAATGAAGCAGCACGTGGTTAACTCAACATCTCAGTCAACATAAGAAAAATTCTTGTTGTTACTGTGTTTGGCATATCGAATACTCTCGGTAGCTTGCTGGGCTCTCCGAGAGGGGCAGAGGAATCGAACTCGGGTTGGCCATGTTGGCCACTTGTAAGGTGAACGCCCTACCGCTGTGCTATCGCTCCAGCCCTCCTTAGTAGTGAGAAATAAATGTTTTACTATCTGGAGTCTTTCTCCATCTCATTCAACTGCAGTAGACTCCTCTGCCAAACTGTCTGTCACAGATATCCAGGCTAGAGACATCCTTTCTCATCTCACTTTTGGTAACAGTCAAGGTTATTCTGAAGGCATTGCTTCCTCCTTTCCTCATTCACTCCCCAGCAACTTCTCTATTCTCCTGCTCTATCAGATAATCCCTCTCCCTTCTTCCCGGCAAGACTCTAGGGCACATGCAATTTCAGTCTCATTCGTAAAAAACTATATAGCACTGTTCTCTTCCTGCAAGAAGGCTATAACCCTGAGGAGGATGTTGAAAACACTTTCTGAAGGAGTTAGGCTCTCACCATTGTGATATTACACTGCATCCTATTAAGAGTGGGTGGAATTGTTAAAGAGGCAAATGTCTTGTCTTTTAGCATCCTTGATTTTTTTAAAATTTTTTTAGAATCTTTTAGGACTTCTTAACATTCGCCAAATCCTCTTTCACACTGCTTAATCATCTAGACCTTTGCTGAACATTAGGAGAAAATGACTAGGAAATTCCTCCTGCTGTGTTTTGAACAACGATTAGCAGGTGGAGAGGGTTACCTTGAATGCTAGTTGGACAATATTCAAGGAAGACAACAGGTGTAATTGCTTTGAGCACACGTGGAACATTCCACCCTAAGGAGCCTGAAGCCTTTGGATTCTGACTCTTAGTACTGTCAAAGTAATTTTTCTTTCTTCTTTTTTTTTTTAAAGAAAATTAGCTTGAAGTATATTGTTTATCTTTGCAATGTGGCTTTCCATTCAGATGAGTTTGTGTGTGTGCTTGTGACAGTTCCTAGTAAATCTAACCTTTAGTTCTCATAGAGATGTCAGAAAGTACCCTAAGGAAAGGTTCAGAACATTTGTTCAAAGTAAAAATGAATATCTGAAAAAATTAAGCACAGCCCAAGATTTATTCTATTGTCCATTTGGGATTGTCTGGTCTAGCAGCAGTTATAATTTGATTGAGATTTGACTGCTGTTCCTTTTTTTTTCTTTTTTCCTCAAGACAGAATTAAGCAATTTCTGAATACCCTGTAAGCAGAGTCTGAGAACAAAGAATCACTTAGACACTGGCTGGGACAAAGATACCTCCTAGTCCTCTCCACCTCTCCTCTCTTTCTGAAATACTTCACCAAGTTTCTTGCCCATAACAGCTAGGATGTGAAGCAGACAGATATTAGACCTATCTTCAATATTCTTTTCAACTTGTCACAATGGGATGTTAGATGCAGCACACCCACAAATGCCAAATCTGCATAAATATTACAAGCATATTGTGTCGATGTTCTCATTCTGTTCACTCAGTCTCATTAATTTGAGTCAGGCAGTACAAGCTCTACAGACCTTGTCCTTTGCACCCTCTCTCCCTTCTGTTTAGACTCTTTCCCCAGATGGCAAAATCCCTTTCCTTAGAGCTCCCTTCTTAGGTACCGGCATGCAGGGACTAAATCGGGGTGTCCGGTGCAGGGGAGTCAAACAAAACAAGTACTCATTAGTTCACTGGATTCCACATGAATTTTATTAAGCGGCGATCCCCGTGATTATTTCTACGTGTCCGCGTGCACGTCGAGAAGAAATCAAATGAAAGCAGCTTGGATGTTCTCTCCTTCTTAAGCATCCCGGGACACCCTCCTTCCCCCCCCCAGCCCCCGCTGGCATGGTCTCTGTGTGTATGGGTGGGGGGCGGTGGGGGGGCGCAGAGCGTTTCTCCAGAGCTCAGTGATGTCCATCCGCGACTGGCAACAGCTCCTGACCTGGCATCTCTAGGTGGAGGCAGAAGAGCTGCAATCAGTGTCCGAGTGGCGATGGAGAGGCCAACGGGGCACACGGAGAAGCCCTGGCATCCCCTCCCGTGATCCCCCCCACCTAGCAAGTTCTTTTCCCATCCACACCCTCCTTCTCGCGCGCCCCCCGTGGCCGCCCCTCGACTCGCTCTCATCCCATCTCCCCAATCAGTCGCAGCAGCGGAGAAGGGAGGGGGTGATCAGGAATGCGTCCCGCATCCTCAGCAGCCCGGAGCCTCTCCAGCCGAGGAACCGAGAGACTCACTAACGCCCCCCCCCCCCCACCCCGCGCACCCCATCACCCCCCACACCCCATCACCGCGCCTCCTTCCAGCCTGGCTCTGCCAGAGGCTCTCGGAATTACCAGCAGGGGAGGTGCAGGGGCGCAGCCCGGAGCCCCAAGGGTGGTGGTGGGGGGGATGCCCGAGAAGCGTTTCAAGATCCCGCCAGCCGGGTAGAGCAGGTAAAGAGGAGAGCGGGCGAGCAGTTCCTCCTCCGCAGCGGTGCAGCCGCGGTCCCCGGCACCGACGGGCCGCGGAGACGCGCGGGGCGTGCTCGGGAGCGCAAAGTTGGGCGCCCGCCGGGTCGCGGAGGAGCGGGTGCGCGGGAGCGCGGGCTGGAGGGGTGGGGGGGGGGGGGCGGGCCGGCCGGGAGGGGGCGGGAGAGGGGGGCGGCTTCCCCCAATTTCCAAGTGGTAGACCTGCCTCTGCGCGCTGCCCAATGAGATCCGTCAGGGGAGGCACCCGGCTCACTTTTCCACCTCACTTCACAGTTCCGTTTGGCAGCCGGGCGGGCTGGCACGCCGGAGCGCTCGGGCCCGAATTAGTGCATTGATCAGGACTCGCCCTGCCTTCCCCGCACGCCCGCCCGCCGGTCCGCACGTCGCCCGCCGGGTGGCCCAGACGGTCGCGTCCACTCGGGGCCGCCGAGACCCGCCGAGCCTGGCCCGCAGCTCCCCACCCCCGAGCGGCATGCACGGAATCCGGAGGCGCCTGCCCAGCGCGCGGGGACCGCTCGCCGCTCGCCGCCCTCGGGAGCCCACCCCGAGCCCCTCCAGCCGTTGGTGAAGCTGGAGGCTTGTGAGAATTCAGGAGCGCCGAGCCCCGGACCAGTAAGTGATGCCCGATCTCCTGCTTGCCTCCGGGTACCCGAGATCCCCGGAGGAACCCCCTTTCTTTCAGGACCCCCCCCTCCCACCCCCTTGCCCGCTCGGACAACCTAGCGAGCATCCTTGCTCTCTCCCCACTTCGCCCCAGATGCTGGATGCGGGTACCCAGCCCCGGGGGCTGAGCTGCGTCCTGATAATCCGTGACTGACTGATGGTGGACGGACGCTGAGGGTTGCACCCCATGGGGTTGATGCCAAAGTGCTCCGACCGGAGCGTCCGGGGAGGAACTGAGCAGGCTGTGCGCCCCCGGGCTTCCCTGCGGGTTCCCGGGTCGCACTCCTGACGCTTTGGCCCCGCGCTCTCGCCGCCTCCAGACGCAGCAGGCGCCGCTGCAGCCGCGCGCCCTCACTGCGGGGTCGGGGCGGTGCGGTGAATGGGAAGCGGCGGGTGCCCGCGGGGACAGGCGCCGGGGAAGGGGGTCGGGGGCGGAGGGGTGTCCCGCCTCCTCCCACCCCCCCACCCCCCATCCCCGGGAAGAAGGGAGGGCGACCCCCGCGGCGGCGGGGACTGCGGACCAGCACTCAGTCGTGTGCGCCCCCCCAGGCACCAGGCTTTCCCACAAGTGGCTGCTCTAGCCCGGTGCCCGCTGCAAACTTGCGGGGGCTCCCGAGATGCCCGGCGGCTCCGCAGTCTCCCCGGCGCGGGCGGGCGGGCGTGCACCCAGGCTGCACCCCGCACGCACTGTCCACTCGGGCACCAAGCTGGCAGAAGCTGGGGAGCCTTAGGACTCAGCATCCTCCCTCCTGCTCCCCGACCCCCAGCGCGGTGCTGCGCTTTGCATTCTCTCAGGTCTCCTTTTGCGTGCATTCATGTGTGTGTGTGTCGGGGAGGGGGCAGTCGCGCCCCCCGCCAATCCTGAGTTGAAGATTGCTCCCGACACGTAACAGGTTCATAGGCATCTCCTCGCGTTCTCCAGGGCGTCTGCCAGAGCTGGGAGGCAGTGGGAATCTGCCGCCGCCAAAGCCAACAGGTATCCCCTATTCCCGGCGCCTCTTCCCTACCCCAGGACCACCGCCTGGCTCCCAGCCCCAGCCGGTACAGATCCCCCAAGTTCCCCCGATCTCTGACCTTCCCCGCCAGCCCGCAGCCTGGCCGCAGGTCACCGCCTAGCCGATCGCCTCCTCGGCGAGTGGAGACGGCAGCTGTCTGCTCTGGGTTGCTGAACGTTAAGGAAATCAACCCCCATCAAATTGTTTATTATTGCACACGCACAACATTAGTCCGTCACGGCGAGGCAGGCTGGCAGCTGCTCCCTTCACCTCCAATTAAAGGACGGGGCTTATAACCCAGGACGCAGGAGGGAGGAAGAGGCGCCTGCAACTTTACCCGCTTGCCGGAAGATTCCACAAGAGTTTTTCTCTTAGAGAGCAGCAGCGCGACCCGACCCTCCCTGGGCGGATCAGCAGCTGCTGCCTTTCCCCGGCTTCGCAGTATTATTGGTGGGGCTGCCGAGGCGCAAGAGGACGCGGGAGTCTTGGTCTCGCTTCTCCGGTACCACCGAATTGCTGCGAGGAGGGTCCGGGGTTGGGTGGCTGGGGACGTTTTTGTGGCATTGGTCCCCCTTTCTTTACGACCCACCTGACAGCATCTGCGGTTAACCACCTTCCCGGAGCTGCCACCTCCGGCGTCGTTAGAGGAGCTTTTCAACTGGAAAACTCTCTGTGAGAAAGATATTTATGTAAGATCCGAGAATGGGATTTTCCATCCATTCAACCTCGCCGCGGTACCTCACTGCATGCAAAATGAGCCCTTAGCGTTCCTGCTAAACACTACTGAGGTCTCAGCCCAGTTCTTGCCTTTCATCTGCTGCGTCCGGTTTTGCAGGGCATTTTTTATCTGGGAGGGTGTGTGTGAGAGAGAGAGAGAGACAGACAGACAGACAGACAGACATCTTTTAACATGAGACTAATATCTTTGAAAGATGTTCTCTGAAGGTTACATTTTTTTCCCCTCGTCAAAGGGAGTCTCCGTAATTATCATGGCCAGGCACATTTTCCCACTTTTGTGAGTTCTGTGGTCAAAAACCAAAACCCAAAAAGAAATAAAACAAAAAACACCCGGCTGGGGCTGTCCCACTTATTAAATAATAATATTATAAATATTCTGCATTTTTGGTGTAGTAGATTTGAAATAGTTGTTTCATGGTGGAGCGGTTACAGGATGCTAAATCCCTGTGTGTGTGTATGTGTGTGTGTGTGTGTGCACATGTGTATGAGTGTGTATATTTGTTTTTCTGGAGACCGAAGAGGGCTTGGAGTTGAGAATATTTGTTCTCTAGATAGGGTAAAGAGCCTCCCATCATCTCAGAGAAATATTTTCGGGGCTGTTTCCTGGTAGTTCCTGTCCCTCATTCTGTTCCCCACATCACCCAATTGAGTGGCAACATTGTCTTTGTCCATCACCTGTGACCAAATATTTTAAAGACTTGATATCTGATAGTTTCTGAAATGTGTGCCAAATGCTGCCATTCAAACTTTTGCAATCTTCTCCCGACAACCTGGATCTCCTTTTCCATTTTGTGTTACTATTAAGTATCAAACATTCTGCATTATAACATATATAAGCCTTGAGACTCCAGCTGGGTAGATACTGTGACATCAACCTCTTAGTATTGAGGGATGGCGGGTGGTATCTTAGTATCTTTGGTATCCAGGTGGCATTCTTTGGCTTTTGAAGGTGTTAGGTATTTAGCTGAAGAACAGTTTCCTCACAACCTTCACAAGAATAGCAGTTCTTCTTTCCTGCTGTACAAATATTGCTCTTAAAGGAAGTCTTGAACCTGAAAAGGAATCTTATTTGGGTATTATGTAGAAGTCTGGTCAAGAAGCAACCCCTTAATTTAGTGCTGAATACACTTTAAGTAGCCAGTAGTGGCTTGCTGGATGTACAAAAACAAACAACCCATAAAACATGCTCAGCAGGATGAAATAGACCACTTGAGAAGGCAATTGTAAAGGCTGTTAGATGAATATACTCATCATGCAACATTTCCTTAAAAACAATGCACAGACTTAAAGTCTGATTTTTCTGGTTAGCAAAGAGCATTGCATTGTTGAAGCAAAGCAAGTTCAGAGACCGAAGGTATGATGACTCTATTCAAGGAATTGTGCCTGAGGGTTTTGCTTTCCAGGTTCCTTTCCATGTCCATTAGTGAAGGAAAGGGAAGCAATATATATATATATATATATATATATATATAGTTAGAATCCACACTTTATCTGCTGTTTTGAGAATTTGATCATTTAAAAACATTAAGGATTTAAAGAAGAAAGTGTCTTTCTCCCCCCCCCCCCCCAAAGTGGCACACCTCACAGCTTTATCAACAATACAACCTGTTGTATCAACAATACAACAATACAACACTACAATTTTTTTTCATGCAAAATCACAAGTGTTTTGTGGGTAAATTGACATTCGGTTTATATTTGCAATTGTGTCTTTTGGGCGTACAAGTAAGTTTTATGTTTGGGAGTTAAGGAACAAGCCTAATCAGAGTCAATCATAGGTGTAATCTAAGAATGCAAACTTTTTCCAAAAGATTACGCTCAATGGTGTGGTTGGATTTAGCACTGTTATATTTCTTGCAGATATATTCACAGGAACAGGGAAAAGCATTTTCCTTTAGGTTTTCAGCACTGTTGGATTTCACAGCCAAAATAGTTAAGTTTGCTATTTAGGTTTGGGGAAAAAATGTCTCTGTGTATTATATATACCTCTTAAGGAGAACAGAATAAACGAGGCATTTTCTTGTTGCTATGTATTATATGGGGTACATGCATGTATGTACATTCACACAGAGAAACTTCCTTCTAGAAAACCGGAATACATGCCTACACCTAGCTAATTCATTAATTGGTTTTAATCTGAGATTTTGGTCACTTTCCTTTTGCTTTTGCATCTGCTTTAGATTATTTAATTTGCCTTCCTCAATTCTCTTTCTTGTACATCATCTGTTTGTGGTGCTACATTTTTTTCCCAGTAATTCATATATGCATATGTGTGGTGTGGAATAATATTTTGACAGATTGAGTCCAGGCTTTGATGTAGGGGGGCTAAGTTAGCCAAAGAACTTTGAGTCCTATCTCAGTTCATTCCCACAGAAAGTTGCAATGAACAATGTTTCTTCTGAACTGTTGATTCTGCCTCTGGATCTCAGGGCAGATGGAACCTTGAGAAAAAAAAATTAAGTGAACTTGGCAACTCAAAAGGTCAGAAAAGAAATAAGTTCAAGATATGCCATTTGTCTCCTGCTCCCATTCCTGATACTAACTAAACCTCCAATACACTTCATGGCAAACCACTAAGGCCAACACTGTGTCCTTTTTCTATCTTGTCTCAAGTCATGATTTCTTGAGTTTTAAATGCCACATTCAATCCCTTATGATAAATATCAGCCACTTTCTTGTTTTTGAAGTGTTGTCATTTTTTAGAAATCCCGTTAGTAGGCAGAAATAAATAGATGTGCTTTTATTCAGTACCTCTTTAGAAAGAATCATGAAAGAGTAACACTTGTATTTGGAACCTTCAAACACATAGCTTCCTTGCCTTCACTACCAAAGACAACTACGGATGCTGTAAGGATGATCCATGGAGGGCTGAGCAGAGGGTTAGTATCCATTCAGCAATTTAATGCACTAACAATTAGAAAAAGACTGTCCTTTCTCTCTTATTAGATGGTTTTCAGTAAAGGGGGGGGGAGGAGTACAATCAAATCGAAAGTCCAATATTGTGATTATCTACCTCAATTTTCTCTATAGAAATTTTATACATTGTCCTCGTTTTATTTTTAGACACAGCTTTTCTCAATTTTTTTAAAGATCAATTTTATTCATGTTCCACAAAGCATATATTTTCTCGCTGGCAATCATTTTAAAAATGCTATGGGAATATAAAATGACATAATTCAGCTTTGTTAACAGTGAGTCTCCTCCAAGACTAGACTT